GCACCTCCAGAGAGACACCGTTGCTCTTGAGTACTTTAGAGAGGTCCCTAACAGCAGGCTTTCCCATGGCAATGTGCCTTTTAATTTCCTGGCTACGGGTGCCAAGAATGTTGACTGTGGAGCCAAGCAAACTAAAGCTGTGGACAATCTCAATCTCTTCACCATCCATCCTGATGCTGCCAATTGGTCCAGTGGTGAGAATCTCTGTCTTCCTGACATTGAACCTCAATCCATATTGATGGCTGCAGTCCTTGACCCTCTGCAGCAGGCGCTTCAGGTCCTCCTCAGTTTCAGCAAGCAGGGTTGTGTCATCTGCATAACGCAGACTGTTGATAGATCTTCTACCAATCTTTACTCCACATTTCTCCTCATAGAGCCCAGTCTCCCAGATAATCTGTTCTGTATACAGGTTGAAAAGTTATGGAGACAGGACACATCCCTGGTGTATGCCCTTCCCAATTTTGAACCATGCAGTGTTCCCTTGCTCTGTTCTGATGACTGCCTCCTGGTCCCCTAGGTAGTAAGGTGTGTTATTTTTGATAGTGGGTAAGATAATGCTGAATGTGGGTGAAGGAGCCACAGCTTGACCATGTAAATGATGTTACTGAGAAATACACATATAATCCTCCAAGTTTATGGTCTACATTCTGAGTAGCATCTACGTTCCTAAAAGCTTGCAAGAGGGGGTGTGTTTTCTGTGGTGCCACTGGGGCCATTGGCTGTTTCACCATGAGGCTGAACACATCTCCTTCCCAGCTGGTGGCTGCCAAAAACTCATTGAAGTGAATGATGAATGCACATTTTATGTATATTTGTACATTTTATGAGAAGCGAAAGGCCACAGAAGTTGTTGCTGACTCTCTTGGTGATGAGTGGAAGGAATATGTTGTCTGAATCGGTGGTGGAAATAATAAGGTTTCCCCATGAAATGGGGTGTCCTGACCCATGGCCGAGTTCGCCTGCTGCTGAGGGAGGGGCACTCCTGTTATAGATCACGAAGAACTGGAGAGAAGAAGCGCAAATCTGTCCAGGGTTGCACTGTGGATGCCAAAGGCAATTTACATATTCAATGCAATCCCAATACAAACACCAATCCCATTCTTCAACGAGATGGAAAGGGCAATCTCCAATTTCGTTTGGAATGGAAAGAGAACCCGAATAAGCAAAGCACTCCTTAAAAAGAGAAACAAGATAGGAGGCATCTTACTCCCTGATTCCAAATCCTACTACCCTGCCGTGGTGGTCAAGACAGCCTGTTACTGGTATAATGACAGACACATAGATCAATGGAATAGAATAGAGAGTCCAGAAATCAGACCATCTACCTATGGCCAATTGATTTTTGACAGAGAGAGGAAATCAATTAAGTGGGGAAACGACAGCCTTTTTAACAGATGGTACTGGCAAAATTGGAAAACAATCTGTAGAAAACTCAAGCAAGATCCGCACCTCACTTCATACACAAAAACCAACTCAAAATGGATCATGCACCTAGTACTAAAACCAAGGACTATATATTTCATTAAAGGAAAGCTTGGAAGAACTCTAGAAGTCCTAATCCACAACATAAACAGTCTTCCAAGCATCCTGAAAAATCTACAACCAGGAGAGGATAAAAGAGATGAATGGGACCTTCTAAGAAGTAAATCTCTATGCACATCTAAAAACTTCTCCAACAGAATAAAAAGGGAAGCCACAGATTGGGAAAAAAATATTTGGTAATGACATGTTAAGATAAGGGATTTATATCTAGAATTTATAAAATACTCGAGAACCACAACAAGATAAAGGTAACTAACCCAACTGAAAAATGGGCACAGGATATGAACAGATACTTCACCAAAGACGATATTCACATGGCCAACAAATACATGAAGAAATGTTCAAAATCCCTAGCTCTAAGCGAGATGCAAATCAAAACAACTCTGAGATATCATCTCACCCCAGTTATAAATAGCAAAATTTAACAGAGCAGCAAACTACAAATGATGGCAAGGTTGTGGAGAAACTGGAACCCTTATTCATTGTTGGGAGTGTAAAATAGTGCAACCACTATGAAGGCTGTATGGTGATCTCTCAAAAAGTTGCAAAGAGAGATACCATCTGACCCAGCAATTCCATTACTGGGAATATACCCTAAAGTAACCATAACTGACACCCTGGCAGATATATGGACACCCATGTTTATTGCGGCTTTGTTCACAATAGCAAAGAGTTGAAAACAACCTAAGTGCCAATCAACAAAAAAAATGGATAGAGAAGCTGTGGTATATTCACACAATGGAATACTACACTGCATTGAAAAACAAGGAACTCATGCAATAGTATTAAAAATGGGTAACCCTGGGGGACATTATGCTGAGTGAAATATCTTAGTCACAAAAGGACAAATACTGCATCGTGCCACGTTGTAAAACGGGCTGACATCAGGGTTGAGGTGAGACTAAAAAAGATTGGATAAATTATGTAAATTATGTATACTGCATTGAAACATATGAGGGAGAGAACTGTTTAAAAGCGATATATGATTGGGTAATATGGTCATGACAAGAGTCCAGAATGAAGGTTGCATAGTGGAGTATACTGTGTGTGGGGGGGGGGAACTGTATACCAATGAAAGAATTTTTCTTTTACTTTTCGAAGAGAAGAGTGAACTGGATGAGGGGAGGAATGGGCAGGGAGAAAAATGCAACTATGAATGAATGGAAATCTAAAATCTCTGTAAATGGTCATTAAAATTAATTAAAAAAAATAAGCTCACATATATTTTTTTAAAAAAAGCTTACAAGAAGCCATCTAACAACAATTATCAGTACCCTTATGGTCAAAGCAAAAGAGATAAAAGGAAATCAAACGGTCAGAGAAGAAACTAAAGGACTAGCAATCTACTTAAACTGTGGCCCCACTGACCCCAATGACAAGAACTAGAGACATCTAACTTCAACTAATGACCACTCTGACTGAGGTCGCAGAGAAGGATATGGACAGATGAGAAGGGATAAAAAAAAAAATGTAGAACAGAACTTAAACTCTTAAAAAGCCAGATATACTCAACAGGTTGAGACTAGAGGGCTCTCCAAGACTCAGGTCCTCAGAAATTCCATAATCCTTGAATTAATAACCCCCTGAAGGCAACTTTTAACTCATAGCAGACTGGCTCATAATGAACAGCAGCAACATGTACTGCACACTCTTAAAAAATTCATGTGTACGCTTCAACGATTTAGATCCTCCTAGAAGAGCTGTGGGTGAGCATTAACATTACTGGTAAGTATATTCATTTTCTCCTGGACACAAGAGCCTACTA